ACATAAAATACATAGAGAAAGTTGATTGGGGATATAAATGCCATGATGAAATTTATGATTAAAATGTTCAGACGAGGTTAATTATGTGTAATTCTTCTTTGGAAGAATACAAGTGCAATTATTTTCCAACTTATGTTCACACAAACATATGTTTACTTCTGTGCTCTTCAATTCTGGTATCTATAAATTGTGTTATATTTGTATGTGCAAGTCAACCAATAAAACAAGACCTAGTCAATTATTGAAGCATGGTACCTAAAACATAAAAACAAATTATATTACATTTATTGACTCAAGTTATAACAATAGTTTTGTTTTTAACAAATATCAAACTACCAGCTTCCAACCTTCATCTATGTTTGTTGTTGAGACACTTCTAATACTACTGTATCTCAAAGACTTTTGAGAGGCAATGTTTATGTTAATGGTTTTGTAATTTAAGATTGTTACAAATCAAGTTTAAAATATTTGAATTTAAAATTTAAATGTATAGACTTTTTTTTAATTCGGGTTATTTGTTATTAACTTTTATCATGGCAGACAAGCTCATTCTATTTTTTTATTTATTAGTTTTAACTTTTTTCACGCATATGTAGTCTTATGAACCTATAAAAGTAAATATAAATACGTCCAAAAACATTTAAAACATATATCTATATACACTTACACTGCTGATTCCCAAGACGGTAAATGTAAAAGATGATAATTGGGAATCAACTTCGATTAGACACTCCAATTAGACCTAATAGGAGAATGTATAAATCAAGAATATCACAAAATAATGTTCCTAACCTTTATTTAAAGTATTATTGTATTCATATAGGCTTTATGCAGCTTTTAGAGACAAAAATTAAATTTTTACGTAATTTTAGGTACGTAAAAGCTTTTCTAGTTGAGTAATTTTAGTCGTATGATGGATTGACTTGAACAAAGAAAAATATTATGTGTATTTGATAGTAACAATAGTAAATATATTATTTTGTGTGGCGTCACTTTGGAACGAGGTTTAATGATCATCTACTCCATTTCCAAGTAGTACTTCAATATCTTAAGTGAGTTGTATCAATTTTGTGAAATAAATTTCACTGGAAATAATAAATAATTCCGTGGAGAATATAAGAGAATGAAAAACGCTAAGTTTGCAAACATCATTTTAATGCATTATAACACTACGTACACCACAGCCAAAATTTTTTTGGAAACCTAATTGAATGTGATTATTTAAAATGAAAACAAAACATACTTCTAACAAAACATCGAATGTGACGATCCACGCAAAATTTTTTTACTGTGCTTCAATTCAGCCGAGAAACAAAACTGACATCAATTGACTTAACAAACAGCTGATTCATACTCAAATCAACGTAAACAAAGCTGTTTTATCGTTTATTTCCAGAGACCACCTACGTTAGTTCACCTGGTGTTATTTTAAGTATTAATCCGATAATATTTACAATCGAAATCAGTATTATGATTAGAACTGGTATAGTTTGAAACTAACCAGTATACATTGTTCTTTACAATTATTAGTTCAAAATATGAAAAAGACGATAAAGTAAGGCGTGTACATTTATGCTATACACATTCTTATACTTGAGAACTTAATTTGCTGACCATGTGATTCAATGTTGCAATTATTAATCGTAGACTTAGGTAATATCATTGTTAATTTCAAACCACATTCCCCTATGTTTAGTTAAGTATTAAGGTATTAAGTGATATGAGTGTTTAGAGTTATGTATACCGTTTGGTAGCTTATATAAGTTTTTATTTTATTCCAATGCTACAAAACAGGTTAAGCTCAATTACATTGCAGTATTAATATCACAAACAACACTTGACATGCATAATAAATAATAAATATACTAAAAGTTCACCTTGCTAAAGAAATCGTAAGTTTTATGGTAAAAGTTAGGTAGACGTTCTTAATTTTTTAACAATTTTTAAAAATTTATTGCTAAAACCTGTATATTAGTGAATTTCCCAACGGGGAAGAAGCTATTACCGTTGGTGACACAACGAGACTTAAACCTGGGACCGATTTACTTTGTAATAATGATGTCCCTAAAGGTCAAAAACACGATTTCTTCAAATTTTATATAAATATATAAAATTGCATATAAATATATGCATATGTGTCTCAGTAATCACGATAACTCGAGTAGGCTCATTTGATCAGATTTTGATTAAATTTGGCATGAGCGTGTAGGGATGGATACACTCTAATGAGTTCGTGAACCAACAAGATCGGGTCATTGTAACGGTGTGTCACTGTGTTTTGGATTTTTTTTAAATTGGCAAATGTTAACCCTTAAAACATAAAGATGCTGAAAAGCCTGAAATAACAATAATTTTGTACGTTGAAGCGCTGTTGTAGGATTAAAAGATACGGATAAGATTTAAAAAAGACTGTGCATTTTAAATTCTTATGTTATTTTTGGGCGCAAGAGTAAACTGTTGTAGTTTCCTTGTGTATGGTTATATTTTTATTAAGTTTTACAAATTTATTTATATTATACTTTACTGTTAAACAATGCACGAAAAACACATTTTTCCTTCCGTGTAGCAGCCAACTTTACTTATAAGACGTGATGTTTTTTTAATATGTAATAAATTTGACAAGTTAAAGGAAACATTTCAGTAAAAATCCAATCAGACAAAGGGAAATTCGTTTAGACTGAAGATTTGCTGCGGCGGAGGTATGTTATTGTTTATTCAGATGTAGAATTTCAGCCAAATTAACTAATTATAAATTTAGTGTTTGCATCCGAACATTTACATGGCATTGTGCAGTATATCATTATGGATCCAGTAGTTAGCATTGTAAATTGATCTTTTTAAATAATTGTCTGGGATTGTGTGGGGGAGCTGGAAAACAGAGTTATTGGATTTTGTTGTTTTAGATTGAAAACTCATAAGCCCAATGCGAGTTTATATTGAATTGTTTAAATATTGATTTAGTTCATATAAACAATAATCATAAATAAAATTTAGTTCTTCACTTGAATAAATTTATTTTTGCGTTTGTGATATGATTGTAAAACAGTACGAAAAAGATTGGTCATTTGGAAACTGGACTTAATTCTGACTTTAAAATTAGCTTAGTAAGAAACAAAGCTACAAAATCATCTGGCCACACTGGTGCACGATTCATATATTTAAAAAGTGCATCAGATGATTTTTCCACTGCCATTTTAGAAAATTCGACCCTAACTGTCATGTTAGGTAGTGGAAAAATAAACACGACAAATATTCCGCACTTACTTTCTGTTTTTCTGTGGTGTGCACTTGTTTCCCAAACAGGCAAACAACACATTGCATGACCATCCTACGTTTTCCTCCACGTCACTGTTTTATTTATATTATAGGACCATGTTATAGTTCAGGTACCCTCTCTTACGCGAGCAGGGAATCTGTAGAACTATTTTTAACTTTTTCTTTTCTTTGTTTGATTCAAATCCATACAGTGTTTTACTCAAAAATGCATTCAGTGACTAATTGTGTTGTATATTTTTGTCAATTAGAACTATATAACTGAGACATAATTTGAAATATGCTACCGAATTTCTTATTCGTTTTCCTAACCCCTATTTGGTATACAGAAACTTAGGAAAACTGAAATTTACTATAAAGTAAAAAACATTAATTTTTTTTTTACCAGACAATATTTAAGGCTCTTTACCCGAATAAATACTATTTGTCCACTTTAATCGACTCTTTTTATATTATAATTACTAAAACTAAGAAACATTTTACCCTCAATAAAAGCTAAAATAAGATGGCACGATGATTCTTTATATTATTAAAAAAAAAAATTTCCCTAGATGGGACATAAATTACAAAGATTACATAAAACTTAAAGCATGTTCCGTAAATTTAAACTTGAGCAAAATAAGCTATCAAAAGTCGTATAATATGTGTTACGACACAATTTGCAAACAGTTTTCATACATGACATTTTCATGTACATGAACTAGCTTGTAAAATAGCTGATCCATCAACAATTCGTAAAACAGCTGATTCCACAACATTATACTTTGTGAAATAGCCTACTTTGCTAAATCCAAATGACAACTCAACAAAACTAGAAATGTAGGCTAAACCCATATTAATCGAATTATGATTTACAGGAAATTTTCTGTATGCTTATTATAATGGTTCTTGCTGAATATTTATATTTAGAAAAATGTGTTTTAAAGATTAAACTGGTTTAGGCTAAATGTTTTAACACTATTGTATTAAATGAATGTTTCATCTAATTTAGTTACTACTAAAGTAAGAGATTTCTTAAAGACTTTTAAGTTGCTGATTTTTTCAAGTTGTTTGATAATGAAATCTGTAGACAAAATATAACTTGATAATCGTAAATCGTATGCAAAGTGTCTTTTTAAACTCGATAAAATTTACGCAGTCGATTGTGAAAAAAGTCCCACTTCACTCACTAGTTGCACAAATAAGTATTTACAAACTTTGTGGAAGTTCATCGTATACACCATGTACCATAATCCATATTTACCATACACAATCACAATCATTATATACACCATACACATCTTTTACATACTGCCATGCACCATAAACCCTGGCGATTTATTGATTTGTCGTGTACATTGCGCACACAATCTACCATATTTATTATTTACCATAGACCATAAGTAGTATACAACACGTGCACTCCATACCATACTCTATATTTACCATATACCATATGCAAGTACTAGCAAGTACGGCTTCGCACTTGCGTAAGAAGAATTCAACTATTGGATTTGCCCTGTTTAAAGGATTATGGGCCTTTCTTATTGCGTGTCTGGCTACTCTACTTACATAACGAATGCCTACTTAACTTTAGCTCGACCTGAAAACTTTGCACGTTTGTTATTTGCTTGTTCGATCACATTAATTTAACATCGTTAGAAACAACCGGGATTGATTGTAAGAGGGTGGACTCATGGTCCAAGCACGTCAACCGAAGCTTATTGTGCATCCCACTTGCCACTAACTGGGCAGGAGCTTTTGCCCAATGTTAGCGTCTGGTTCATCACCTGGCTGCTTTAGACCAAACAGAGCCCTTCTCCTAGCCCGTAGTCCATCGCAGTCCAGAATAATGTGTTTTGCAGTCTCATCGGACTGGTTACAAAGTCGACACTCCTGCTTGTCATTGACAATTCCTAGAGTGTGGATGTGTTTCCTGAAATGGCCGTGTCCAGTGATAAGAGCAAGTAACTGCTTGACCTGCCCTCTCCCCAGCTTTAGCAGCCAGCGAGTGAAGAGGGTGCTAGGTTCTGAGAGCAGTTTTCTGCCAAGTGATTGTCCAGGATAATTACGCCAACGCTCAAGGTGTTGTCCCCTGGACAATTTGTTGATTACATGTTTAGTGGCCGCTTTGCTGATGCCACAAAATGGCTCTGGTCCAAAGAGTGGCATGCTCGCACCTTTTTTTGCCAGCTTGTCTGCACTCTCGTTGCCGCCAATGCCTACATGGCCTGGGACCCAGCCGAGAGTTCCAGAGTTCTGTGATGCAAGTCTGCAGAGGGTGTTGAAACACTCCCAGACCAGTTTTGAGGTGACTTCATTTGAGTCAAGAGCTTTGAGAGCAGCCTGACAATCAGATAAAATCACTATCCTTTTGTATTGGTACTGTCTGGCTAGTCCTAGGTTGGCAAAAGCCAAGATGCCATAGATTTCTGCCTGGAAGATGGTACAGTATCGTCCCAGACTTCCTGAAAGTTCTGTTCTGGGTGATCGACAGTAAAAACCAAGAACCAAAACCAGATTTTCCATCGATTAGGGAACAACCGGGAAGTTTTACAATCTTCTCAGAATGAAGAAAAGATTCAACTTTCACTATTTGTTGTGACTGAATTCTGCTTTTTGTATTGCTACATACCTTTTTGGTGGATGGCGATAGCTAATTCTAAACTTTTAGCGAATTTCCCATGCAGAGAATAAGCTATTACCACAGAACTCATCGTAATACCTAAAACCGATTTACTTTTTCGTTTTGAGGTCCGGTAGTGCGAGAACTCAAGAAAAAGTTATCAGATTTTCATAGAATTTGGTACGAAAGTGTAAACCTACGTTCATTCGAACGAGTTTACGAACAAGTATGATGAGACTATGGGAACGGGGATTTTATGGAGTAAAAATGGGTATTTCCTAATTTCCACCCTAAAAATACAAAATTTTGTTTACGATACTCGTCCGGTAAACACAAATTTCTTTTGGACAAGTAACGTAATATACTAATACAATATATTAACTCTACACAATTTTTCATTTTCAATGAAAGTAATTTCAATGTGTATTCAAAATCATAATATTCTATCAATAAACCATATCAGTAAAAATGATTTTTATGTATGTTACGTATTGTAAAAGAAGAAAAAAACGTTCTATAAGAATTAGAAGATAAAAATTTAACTATTAATACAAATGTGCATGATAATAAATTAAAAGCATGTTGCCAATATGAATAGGACCTTTTAAAACTATTACCATGACAAAATAAGAAATAACTCTCTCAATATCTCCAAATCGTATTTTTTTAATCATATCAAGGAAATGGTAACTGTAATACTAACATGATTTTGAGCCTAAAGCAGTAATTATTGGGAGCTTAAAAACATGAAATCGCACGTCTATACGATCTCAGTTCCTACTAGTCGAAATATTTTGGGCAATAATAGCTCAAATAAACTTTTTCATACAATTCCGTACACTTTAAACTCCAATTTCTCAGGACAGGTACAACCTTTTAAAATCGGGTTTGCGGCACTTAATTCGAAATAGCCCTTTGATACCAAACTCGACATTAGCTTATGTTAAAGAATATTAGTAGACTCCTGGGAGGGACGTCACCCGAGCCTTGAAAATCCATTTAATGACATGAAATTATCATAAATAATAACAAAAATATTCATATAAGGTTTTGTTTTCCTATATTTGATAGTTTATGAATAACATCTATTTCATTCAGGTATTATTTAAAAAAATCAACAAGATATAGAATGCTGGAGTATTTTCCTGAGATCAACTGCTGAGGTAGACTCCAAATTTAAAGAAATGAGTAACAGAAATGGAGTACTATGTAGCGACCAAGGTATGGTGTCGTGTTATATGTATATGTATATATGCTGCTTTGCAGTGTCTGATCCCTGTCAAGTATAGTACTTCGTGCCCGATCACTACTAGAGATTTAGGCCAGACTTACGTCTATCTCGGCAAAAAAATGAGCGACATGAACTTCTCTCTACACTGTACTTCATTTACTGTATGAATTAGGGTATTATCCATAAAGTACCCAAAATTTCGGTAAAAGAAAGGCCACAACCATTAGAATCAATATAGTAGGCCTATGACTGATTCTAATGGATGGGGCCTTTTACAGTGTAGGTCTTGCCCGGTGGATTTATTCTTAGTGTGAAATAGTTATTTGTGTAACTAGTGGTGAAAGTGGCACTTTGCTGCACACGAGAGCAATGTTTACGCACGAGCCGCAGGCGAGTGTGGAATGATCTCGAGTGCAGCAAAGGCCTTTTTCACTCGTGTTACACATTATATTTTTCCTACAGTCACTATAAAGCATATAAATAATTAGTCTTTCAAACACTATACAACACGTTTTTAGGTTCAGCTGGCAACACAAATGGTGCCCTAGAGAAAGTAGTACCCGCGGTCCGTATCACTCCGCTATTTTCCTCGGCAAGAAATGTGCTCCGCGTTTTGAGAATATAGTTCCGTATGTTTTTTTTTTTTATTTGAAGTGGTTTCCGCGCCTAAAGAAATGCTTTAAATGTATTTTCTTGTTTATTAAGATCGTAGGAATGTTTTAAAAACGTTTAAAAGAAAAGTCCAGAAAGTTCAGAAATACCGAAACTATAAACACGAAATGACAGGTTAAATCGTAGTTATAATAGTCAATCAGCTGCTCATAGTATTATTATCTTTAAGTGTTACCAACCTATTTCCAAGCGTACACGGATTACGTGCATAATAGAACCACGCTGTTTTGTGTTGTTTCGTTGGAATCCTGATGTGCGGCAAAGTATAAACCGTACGACAAAGTATAAACCGTACGGCTAAGTATAAATATGCAGCAATTAGCAGCTTTCTGTACTATAAATAGTACAAGGAAGCCAACTTTGTCAGGTGACTGTAGGAAAAAAAAAATTTCGTGCGAGAACCAAACAATTATTATTTAGTTTATAGCGAGGGAATTATAAACTACAATTTCGCGTATAACTAGAGAACGAGTTGAGCTTAAGTCTTCAAGTTCGGACATTTTCCACTAAACCCTATATGGAGAGTCCATTAAACACATTTTCGTCGTAATTAAAATACCCCTGCCGCAGCAAACCTGCAGACTAAGTGGATTTGCCTGATTCGCTTGTCATTAAAATAGGTGCTTAAACTATCAAATTTATTCCTAATATAAGTAACATCATTTTTATGAGTACTTAGGTTTGCCACTACAGTGCATCTAATAAGGAGTTCGTAAACCAGCATGATCGGACGAGGGGAACGGGGGTTTGTAAGGTTTTTATGGGGTAAAATTTGGTTTTTCGCATTTTTTTGTCCCTAAAAACATAACATTTTATAATTTCTTTTGAAACCATTTTGTCGAGCGCAATAATTTAGAATAATTTGTACATTGGGCGTTGTTGTAAGCTTAACGGTTACAGAGATAATTAAAATATGTATATTTGACATTCTCATGTTATTCTTGTGGATAATAAACACACGGTTATTTATCAAATTTGGCAATTTTGGGTCTGTTTATGAGCATACTTGAGTTTAACTATGCAAATACAATACATTTATGTAAATATGACTTGATCGTAACGTGGCATGCATAAACAGTAACATATTTTCATGTTACAAGTACTTCACTAAATATTTTTTAAAAGACTTATGGCATTTCTATGTGTTACCCTACAATGAGTACGATTAGTACGATATTTGCAGATCTCTGATTCGCATGTCCTGGAGGCAACAATATATATAAATTGTATATTGTGTTATATTCTATTTTCGAACCCTAGAATGAGACATTAGGATGACAACCCCATAGCTTATTGTATGCAAAATGCTACGACAAAATAAATTAATCGTCTAGGAATATTTCTGATTACTAATATTTCACTTATAAATCTATTCCTCCCAATTGGGTATTTGTGTGTTCAGGCCAGACTAGTGCGATTATTTTCAAATACCTTGTAGATCACCCTCAAACATTATATTTTCGGAAATTATCGACTGTTACGATATTCTATTTAGTTATTAGTTTATGATTTAAGTTTTGTATGTTTAAGTCCTGGAATGAGACGTTAGATGGCAATGGAGTCGCGGTGGTGGAGTATGAGATATTCGAAGGGAGGGGTTCATGGCTCATACAGCCGAGTTCGATCACCACACCCCTCCCCCTAAAACTGCTTGTGCTTGTGTGGTTGGTAATAATGCCTCAAGTTAACTAAGTAATTGGTTGAAGCTACATGCGTCTATACTACTGCGCACCGCCGCCATTTTAGCACCATCTAGTATGTACAGTAATACTAACTTGAATCGATTTATTTCGTGTACGCATTACGGATGAAATTAAGTAAAAGTAGTCATCCAAGAAAGTTCTAAATATAGTACATTTAAAAACAGGGTATAAATGTGACTCTTTTAAACACGAGCTTGAAACAGAGTTTCGGAAAAGATCGTAGGTTAAAAAGACAATTCTGGTCCGTGAGATGAACATTTTGCCGTCATACTGTACCAACTAACTAAATCACAAAACGATTATTTCGTTGATTTTCACCCTTATAAATTGGTTGCCTGGATTATTCACGAATTGCTTTACTATTGTATACGAACAGCTGTTGCCGATGATTAAAATCAACATTTATTCCTCTGCCAACACTAAATAAATATAAATTCAAATCCCTAAAGTTTTACTGAATGTCAATGATGGGTGATGGCGACTTTTTTTTGTGAAACTTACAATTTGACACGATAAAAAACGCAAAATAATTTTAATCGTGCAATAATATCTTTTATCAGCAGGATCTACTCGTATTTTCTTTCGCAAATGTACAGCTGATGTCCGCGACTCCAACTGATTCTTTTTCGCCCTAGGGAGTAGGGTAAAAGTACTTATTTAAAGTTTTAATTTTTCATAACGCAATCTATCCAGCTATGGCTGGGCAACGATGAAGAACCGGTAAAGGTAAAGGTAAAGGTAAAAGTATAGTGTCTCCGATGACTACAGTATACAGTAGTCTTAAGGCCATATAGGATGCTTCATTACCAAACCTCGCGTTATATGATGGGATATTTGACAATGAGAGATCGTAGCCTACAAAAGTTGTCAGTGTGGCATTAACCTGTATATTATTATATTTATTTTCAATCCTTTATATATGAATAAATCCAAGCACTGCATACAATTTTATACCAAATAAATTTAATATATTATCATATAATTGTATGATGCAATAAGAGAGCATAACCTATTTACCGTAGTGTGGTTGTGGCATCAAAATTCAACGAAAAGCTTTAGGTAGACCAAAGTATCTGGCTCGAGTGTTCACTTGTTGAGTGTTTAGGTGAAGTGGCTGAATTTAAAATCCCACTCTTAAACAAACACTAAGCTACGAACGGATTTAATAAAATGCAGTATGGTTGATTTTTTTACCTGTTAAATGAATACATTTTTACAGACGTGTAAGTTAAATAGTTACTTTTTGTATGGTACACCCAAATATACAGGCATTGACTATACACTAACATGTGTTTTC